GTAGAAACCCATGGAATCTACTTTAAAACTGACATAGGCTGGGCATGGTAGCTCATGCCATACAGTCCCAGCACTTTGGGAGGCTGAGATGGCAGGTTTCAAAATAAAATTCTCAGATCGAAGAGGCTAGAAGTTCAAGACCAGCCTGGGCGACATAGACCCTGTCTCTACAAAGAATAAAAAAATTATCCAAGTGCGGTGGCACATGCCTGGAGTCCCAGCTACTCAGGAGGCTTAAGTCAGGGGGATCTCTAGAACCCAGAAATTTGAGACTGCAGTGAGCTGTGATCATGTCACTGTGCTCCAGCCTGGGCAACAGAGCAAGATCTTATCTGAAAAAATAAATAAATAAATAGAAATGAAACTGACAGAACCAATTCCTAAAAGGGTGTGTGTCAGAGAGTTTAATAGACAAGTTCTTTCAGACTTCAAAAGATTGTTTCTAGGCTGTTTAAATTGTCCAGAAAACAAAAAAAGAGAATATGTATTCTGATTCACTTTACAAATGTACCAAAGTTGTGACATGTCACTGGAAAAGATAACCAGTCTCCACCCAATCTGGCATTTTAACCAGAACCCAAGTGATCTGTGTGCGCTCGATAGTGTGAAAAGTATTACATGACACTACACTGAATGTCCTAACATGGACAAAGGCTTCAATATAAAGTCCTCAAATCATAGAGGACAGCAGGAGCCTGGGTGGCTGAGACCAGGGAGTCCTGAGCAAAGAGTGGCCCAGGAGATGGGCAGTGTCAGGAAGTCCTGGACCCCAACCCAAGGCTCATGGGGGCTACCTATGCTGTCCACACCCATCTCCTGGACATGGCAAGGAGACTCAAGGAGGCAGAAATGAAGTGTTCACCCCACCCTACCCCCTTGTACACACAGCATGAGCTTGGCGTGTGTAGGCTGGCCTTACATCCTGGAGGACACTCTTGGGGCACAGGGCACAGTGTTGACACTAACCGCTACAGGATATAAAGACAGTCAGCTCAGTGCAAAACCTAACAGTTGAGCTGTCTGGGGAGGTAGTGAGCTCCCCGTCACTGTATAACCATCCTCCAGGGATGCTCTGGAGGGGGGGCGCTGGCCCTGGGAAAGAAGCTGGCCTTGATGGCATCACTCTTTTTTGTTTGTTTGTTTTTGTTTTTTTAAGACAGAGTCTTACTCTGTTGCCTGGGCTAGAGTCCTGTGGCATCAGCCTAGCTCACAGCAACCTCAAATTCCCGGGCTCAAGCGATCCTCCTGCCTCAGCTTCCTGAATAGCTGGGACTACAGGCATGCGCCACCATACCTGGCTAATTTTTTCTATATATTTTTAGTTGGCCAATTAATTTCTTTCTACTTTTAGTAGAGACAGGGTCTCGCTTTTGCTCGGGCTGGTCTCGAACTCCTGACCTTGAGCAATCCTCCCACCTCGGCCTCCCAGAGTGCTAGGATTATAGGCATGAGCCACCGCGCCTGGCCAGCATCACTCTTTTGAAGCCTAAAGAATTCAGATTTGTAATGACTCTAACCCTCCAATGGCTCCATCCCACCCCGTAATGATAACTGCTGACTTGGCTAACCAGGACATGCGATTTTTCATTTTCAGAAAACACCGTTTCTGCACGCTCTGTGCCCTTCTCTCCACACCTGCATTACCATCTGTCGGCAGCGTCTCTCAGGATGGAGATGAGCACGGGAGAGGAGCGGGAGGAAAGCGGCTCTGACCTTACTCGCATTATTGGCCACATACATGCAGACAGGCCTCAAAAGTACTAGCACAGACAGGTGCGTGCGCCTCCCTCTCTCCCCACGGGTTGCCATGGTGAGCAGCATCGCAGGTCCCAGGCTCGGAGCAGATGCCAGGAGAAGGCTGCCGGCTTGAGGACCATTCAAGACGTTATTAGAAGCACAAACAACCCCGGCCACCCCTCCCTCCATAATGGACTGAATCTCCGCCTGCCGCACTCATAGGTGCTTGGCCACAAAGAAACCTGCAACGGCTAATGCCTTCTCCTTATTGTGTGGATTTCAATGACGGATGAAGTGCTTTCACTGTGATCCCCACATGCAGACTTGCAGAGGCCTGAGGACTCCAGCCTGGGCCACCCCTGGTCATGAGCACAAAAAAGGCTGTGGCACTGGGGGCTAAAAAGGCACCGTCAGCACCATCAGCAGACGCGGCGCCAGGTTGCGGGGGCTGAAGCGCTGCTGCTGAGCTCCCCGTGAACTCGAGTGGGGCCAGTGCCACCGTGCCTCTGGTACTGGGCTGCGGGCTTGGAGAAAATGGGCACGCCGCCACCTGCATGGTATGGAAGTTACGATTTACCAAGGACACAGAGCAGAGCAGGAGCCTTCCCTGGGGTGAGTGGGGTGGGGTATGGGAGTATGACCTCAGTTTCCCATTCCTCACAGGAGACAGCTTGGTTGGAGGTGCTGGGGTTCCACCAGTCCAAATCTCAAGATCCCGAGAAGGCCTGAGCCAGCACACTAACCAAGCCACTGATCCCCTGCTGTGAAGCTGGGACTTTGGTTCCCCCCCCCCAGGAGGAGGGAGTACGTTCCGTATGTGTGGATGAAAGGGAAAGGACACTGGCAACAGGAAGGGCAGATTGCAGACGCCCTTAGGACTCGACAAGTTCCTGGAAACGTGGGAGGACTGTGCCTCCTTGACCCTTGGAGTTAGGTGTGGCCAAAGGCGTAGCTCTGGACGATGGATTGGCAGCGGAAGTAATGTTCATCATTACCAGCTGGAAGCTTTAGGAGCCAGTGCATGATTCGCCACCTCCCCTTCCTCCCTCCGGCAAGTATTGCTATGGAGGCTCCATCAGCCTGGGTCCCACTTGCCATGTGGGCCGATCCCCATCCTCCCCTCCCCACCCCACCCCGGCAACCTGCTTTGGACATGACATGGGAGTGACGCATAAACCTTTGTTGTTTTAAGCCCTGAAGTATTGGTGCTGTATGTTACTGCAACCTAACCTTGCCTATCCTGACTGGCACACCCAGAATAATTCAATGGCATGGTCATGGAAGCTGCCTTTTCTAGAATGCTCTGTCTAGTCTTTCGTCTAAACCTTAGCCCCCCCTACAATCTCTTACTATGACGCCAGTGAGTGTCATGCTGCTATGTTGTCCACATGTCATTTGATAGGAACAACTCACATGCATGATCACATTGCAACTATGTGACAATGTAGACAAAGCTAATCACTTCAAGGCTCAAGAGGAGCCAAACACCATGGCCAGGATGTAGAGAGATGGAAAACATGCCATTTACTATGGCAAAAAAGAAAGAAAAACTGTAAAGCATAAAAGATTAAATTTAACAAAATGTATAAGACCAGCATGAAGAAAACTACAAAATGTACTTGAAAAGACACAGTCAGTAAAGTTTAGTAAATACAAGGCACCACACATACACATAAATGCCCCCTGCACAAGGTCACATGGCTGACAAGTGGCAGAAGGGAAGATTTTAATACAGTCTGCTTTCTTTTCTTTTCTTTTTTTTTTTTTTTTTTTGAGACAGAGTCTCACTTTGTTGCCCAGGCTAGAGTGAGTGCCATGGCGTCAGCCTAGCTCACAGCAACCTTAATCTCCTGGGCTCAAGCAATCCTTCTGCCTCAGCCTCCTGAGTAGCTGGGACTACAGGCATGCACCACCATGCCCGGCTAAGTTTTTCTATATGTATTAGTCGGCCAATTAATTTCTTTCTATTTATAGTAGAGACAGGGTCTCGCTCTTGTTCAGGCTGGTTTTGAACTCCAGACCTCGAGCAATCCGCCTGCCTCGGCCTCCCAGAGTGCTAGGATTACAGGCGTGAGCCTCTGCGCCCGGTCAACAGTCTGCTTTCTTAACCACCAACAAAATTCATCAAGAATAGGATCAGCAAACTTTCTGTAATGGGGCAGACAGACATCCGAGGCCTTGTGGGCCCCCTGGACTCTGCTGCAACTACTCAAATCTAGCTTGTAAGCAGGCAATAGACAATATATAAGCAAATGAGTATGGCTCTGTTCCAATAAAACTTTATTTACAAAAGCAGACAGCCACCTGGATTGGATTGGCAACTGCAGAATTGGTCACTGCAGAAGACAGAACTAGTGAACTAGGGTGTAGATCAGAAGAAATCAGAATACACATACACACAAATACAGATGGGGTGTGGGGTGCTGTAAGGGTTCAGTGAGGTCTAGCTTTGGGGGTCCCAGGAAGGGGGGGAAGGGGGGAAGGAGGGAGGGAGAGAGGGAGGGGGGAGAGAGACAGATTGAGAATACAGAAGTGATATTTTAAAGAGATAATGGCTGAGTATTTTTTAAAACTAATGAAAGATACTAATTCACAGATTCAAGAGGCCTAACAAATATTAATAAAAAGAATAAACAGGCCGGGTGCGGTGGCGCACGCCTGTAATCCTAGCGCTCTGGGAGGCCGAGGCAGGCGGAATGCTCGAGGTCAGGAGTTTGAAACCAGCCTGAGCAAGAGTGAGACCCTGTCTCTACTATAAATAAAAAAAGAAGTTAATTGGCCAACAAATATATATAGAAAAAACTAGCCGGGCATGGTGGCACATGCCTGTATGATTTTTTTTCTTTTTTTCTTTTTAGTAGAGACGGGGTCTAGCTCTTGCTCAGGCTGGTCTTGAACTCCTGAGCTCAAGTGATCCTCCCACCTCAGCCTCCCAGAGTGCTAAGATTACAGGCATGAGCCACCTCGCCGGGCCACCACTAAATGCTTAGAGAGTGTATAAAATAGTGGGAAAAACTGGAAGATAATTAAACTAAAGAATAGGTTAGAGAGCACAACATAAGGTGGTAGGCTTAAACCCAAATATATTAGGAGTTATATTAAACAAATATGGGCAGTTAAAAGACTTAAATGACAACATACATCCACGAGCGACTTTCAGTGGTAGCTTTCCCCAAAGCCACCCACCTCTCCCAAGTGGTAGACAAGGTGGCCTTTTCCTGATGACTCAAGCTGCCCATTGTGACCACCGTGGCTGCTCCTTGACATCACACAGTGTACCCGTCAAGGCCAGGGGCCAATGCACACCTTCCTCACCTCCTTGCATGGCTGCTGTGTTTTTTGGCTCTTGTATCTGCTTTACGTGGCTCTTCTGACTCAGGTGCCATTTGCTAACCCTGTGCTCTATGTAGCTGCTTCTGACAGATCTTCTTTCCTCTTCTAATCTTCCACTCAGTGGTCCCAGCAAACGAGGACAAGATAAGATCTTCACCTACAGAGAGTCCCAGGGGCCAACGCTGGGCAGAGACTAGCTCAACCCTTCTTACAAAAGGGCTTTTCCACAAGCGGCGCCTCATTTAGCCTCTGCGCAGTGAGACACTCTGCCTCGAGAACAACTTCTCATGGAGCCAGAAGCCTTAGAAATCTGCCCGTACAACCCTCACCACCGAGTCCCACTCAGCAGGTTCCAGTACCACCTGGCCTCGTGCAGGAGAAAGAACCCCAAGAAAGCCAAAAAGATGGCCAGCTGCAAATACAATGCCTGCCACGTGGTCCCCATCAAAGAACTGGAGGAGCACGAGGCTGCTTGTGTCAACAGAAGCTCCGTGGAAGAAGAGGACAACCTGAGCCCTCTGAAAGTTGGTCTTCCAAGTTCGGAGCAGAAGGACGACGCCCTGCAGACCTCCCCCTGGCTTCCCAACCCTGATATCTGGAACGTCGATGACGCTAACTGCCACCCTATGTTTGTCCTTAAGACTTTTGTTCCCCAAAAGCTTGTTTGTGAGAGCGACACAAGGGAGTCGGAGAGGGAGGAGACCAGCCCCCAGAAGATCCTCAGACCAGGACAGTAAAGTGCCAGCCGGGGAAGTACCACTCACCTCTTAGGCATGAAAGGATATGCATCGCAATAAAGGGCATGCACAGTAAACTACACTGGGGTGCCTTTTTTTTTCCCAATTTTAGAAAATTTTTTTCTAAATTTACCAATTTTAGCAGATTGGTAAATATCAAAAGGCTTAAAATATTCTGCTGGCAAAGGTGGGGCGAAACAGGCACTTTCATAACATTGGTGAGAATATAAGCTGGTATAACCTCCACGGAAGGCAATTCGAAAATAGCTACAAAAATTATCAATGTGTGTAGGCTTTATGAAGAATCCTAATTCTGGGACTTCATTCCATGAAAATACTTAAATGTGTGGAAATATATTTAAATATGTGGAAAATGAGGTAAGTACAGGTTATTCATTGAGGTGTTATTTGTAGCAGCGCGGCGGCACGCACCTGTAGTCCCAGGTATTCTGGAGGCTGAGGCAGGAGGATCACTTGAGTTTGAGTTCAGCCTGGGCAGCACAGTGAGATCGCATTCTTTTAAAAAATGGGGGGGCAGAAATGAACTAAATATCTGTTAAGAGGACCTAATTATAGCGTAACCATACAATGGAATAGTATTCTGGCCGGGCATGGTGGCTCACACCTGTAATCCTAGCACTCTGGGAGGCAGAGGTGGGCGGATTGCTTGAGGTCAGGAGTTCGAAACCAGCCTGAGCAAGAGCGAGACCCCGTCTCTAAATAGAAATTGGCCAACTAATACATATAGAAAAACTTAGCCGGGCATGGTGGCGCATGCCTGTAGTCCCAGCTACTTGGGAAGCTGAGGCAGGAGGATTGCTTGAGCCCAGGAGTTTGAGGTTGCTGTGAGCTAGGCTGATGCCACGGCATTCACTCTAGCCTGGGCAACAAAGCGAGACTCTGTCTCAAAAAAAAAAAAAAAAAAAAAGGAATAGTATTCTGCCTTCAAAAAAAGCGAGGAAGCTGTTTCTGCACTGATATGGAAAGGCTAAAATGTATTGTTTAACTCAAGAGGTCAGCAAACTTCTGTAAAGAGCCAGATAGTAAGTACTTTAGGCTTTGCCAGGCATGGGGTCTCTGTCACAACCACTCAGTTCTGCCACTGTAACCTGAGAGCAGCCACAGGTAATATGTAAACAAATGGAAGGTGTTCCCTGGACAGCCTGGTGTGAGCCCTGGGAGACAGAGGCAGCCCTGTCCCCATCCTCATAGTGGGGCAGGGGCCCTCGACACTGACAGCCCCCTGGGCAGGTGGCCGTGGCACGCTGGCAGCAGCCAGTTGACAGAGCCTGGGGAAGTCGCGGAGGGGAGGGGTTCTAGGCTGAGAAATTGCAAAGGGCGAGAGGCTGATGTGTTCACCAATGGAACCTACCCAAGCATCCAGCTCCTCCACGTGGGCTGCGGGAAGCAGGGCAGGAAAAGCAGAACCCCGTCCCCTCCTCAGCTCCAGAGCAGGAACTGGGGCACAGCCAGGCCAAAGAGGGCATGACTGGGTGTGGCGCTGGGGGACCCCATGCGTGAGCTCAGCAGGGAGGGGGTGCGAGGCCAGACAGACGTGAACTGCAGCATCCTCACCCACAGTCCTCGCCGCGTTACGGATGTCTGCACCTCCTGTCCCGGGAGAGAGGACCTGCCGGGCCTCCGTTGGGTGTGAGGCTCTGAAGCTAGGTCTGCCCTGCCCTGGGCCCACTCAAACTCAGCCCCCCGGGATGGCCACGTATCCTGTCCCATGAATCCCACTGAGGAAAACACTTCCTGACCTCGACCTTCTCAGGCTTGGCATCACCCCCTCTTCAAGCCCTAGTGACTCCTCCCAACTACAGCCAAGTACCAGGGCAGGCAGCAGCCCAGGCTGCAACTGCTGCCACAACTAAGGGATTTAGGGCCACTTGGGAAGAAGGTCTGGCCTTCCCCAGCCCTGGCCACTGAGGCTCGAAGGTTTTGCCCAGTGCCTGTCACTCCTCCTCCTCCTCATTTACTGTCTGACCCGGGGGCTGGGTTCAGCTTAAGGCAGAGGCTCTTTGGAGACCAGGTGAGCCACCAAGGCAAGGGCCAAGCATGGGCCTACTGCCCCGTCCCACTGACCACCTCTGCCTGCCCGTCTCTGCCCACCTACCTCCACCCATGGTCGAGTCCTCAGAGCTCTGCAGGTGCCCACTGGGCAGAGACAAAAACTGCTCCCAGCTCACTAGGGGAGCAGGGTCCACCGCCCCTAGGGTGTGCACATAAGACTGCACTCAGGATGAGAGCCCAGGTCCCCACATCCCTGAGGACAGTCACCAGTGCCCAAAAGGAAGGTAGAGCCCAGAGCAGCACAAGGAGGGAGGCGATTTTATTCTTTCAAGAAAATGCACCAACAGGGGATGAGGAAAGGAGCAACCCTGCCTCGCCCCCTATCCTGAGCAGGGTCTGAGATGAGGCCAGGCCTGACCCAGGCTTGGGAGTCACTAACTGGGCTCCCTGTGGCACTGGGGAGGGAACCAGGCAGGCCCAGGAGTGGGGCCCTGTTCTGTTAGCACCAGGAACCGCCTGCAGCTGGACTGGGCGGCGGGACAGCCCTCCTGCCCCGACCTGAGCAGACTGGGAGGGGCAGGCAGAGAAGGCTCCCTGCAGGCGGGTGGTCACCTGAGTGAGAATCTCAAATTCAGACCCCTCTGCCCCCTAGCCCCTGTAAACATGAGAACGGGCTCGTGACCGCCCAGCCCCTCAGGACAAGATGAGGGTCCGAGACGTGTGGCTGGGCTTCAAGCGGCCCAGGAGCTGCCGGGCTTTCTCCTGCATGAAGAGTTGGTCCCTGGTCCCCCCGCAGGCCACTGTCTTCCAGGCGCTGGTCATCTGGCAGGAGACAAGAGGGTTACCACCACCCAGGCAATCCTGGCCAGGGAGGGTCAAGGGCACCTCTAGAAGCCAGCAGCTTCTTGTGCTCTCTCTACCTTCCTGGGTGCCCTGGGGATGTCACTCCCTGGCCGCGGGCTTCCTCACGGTAAAGCAGTAGGCCGGACAAGGAGACACGGCCGTGCCCCCAGTGCAGCACCCGCCACAGGAGAAAGCCACAGAGACGCAAGCAGCCCAGGCCAGCCCCACCCTCGAGCGCAGACACGTGCGGAGCAAACCAAACACGGACGTACTGACTTGGTTACAAGTGAGACCCAGGCCATGAAAGTGGGAATGAGCGGGGTCTCTCCAGTACGTGGGGTCAGGGAAGGCTTCCCCGTGGAAGTGGCATTTGGACTGAGATCAGAAGAGTAAGTCCAGCAAACACGGCCACAGGAGGGCCGCAGGAGGAGCTTCCAGGCAGAGGGAACAGCCCGTGCAAAGGCCCTGAGATGAGAAGGGCAGTGTGGCGGCACTCACCGGGGCAGGTGTCGGGAAGTGGCTTCGGGGCTTCTGGGCCACCACTGCCTTGTCGGGCTTGGCCTGCAGGAAGCCCTGGTTGAGCAGGCTGTTGTCCCCTCTGATCCCTGACAGGGTGAGGCTGGAGGAGCTGGATGAGGCAGTTGTCGGCTGAAATGGAAACCAAGTTAAAGAGTTGCCACTTTGTCACAAGCTCTCAGTGGGAAGAAAAAGTGCCCTGTGGCACACCCCAGTGCCACCCCTCCTGGCTGCTGAGATCTGGAGCGGGAGGCACTCTATGCCTCAGTTTCCTCTTCCAGATGGGGGTTTACACAAATCTTATTTTCTTACTTAGAAGATTAAGCAAGATTAAGCAACTTAAATCTTTTTCTAAACAACTTTTTAACTCACAAGACCAAGAAAACGTGTGTGCAGTGCCCATTTCGGAGCCTGACACCCAGCACGTGCTCAATACTGCTGCGCCTTTCAAGGCAGCCTCAGGCAGAGCCAAGGCTGTTCCTGCTTCTCCCGGTGCCAGAAACATCCATGAGCACCGGAAAGAGGCAGCAGCACCCTGCAAACACAGCGGAGTTGCACCAGGCCCCTCCTGTGCCTTCCAGCCGCTGTTATGCTGCTCACTTTGCCCTCTGGACTGCTTTTTTCTTCCTAGAAACAGGGTCTCACGCTTGCCCAAGCTGGAGTGCCCCGATCTCTGCTCACTGCAACCTCTAATTCCCAGGCACGAGCAATCCTCCCACCTCAGCTTCCTGAGTAGCTGGGACTACAGTAGCTGCAAGATCTGGTCAGGCAATTCGCAACCTCCGGTCATGACCCCCCCCCATGCCTCTCACTGGCTCCCGGGCTCCACCCTGGCACCAGGGCAAGCTGGGCTCACCCCACCGTCAGCTAAGAGGGAGCAGAATGGCGTGGTCTCTGGGGACCCACACTCCGTACACGCAACGACCCCCTTCCTGAGGTCAGCCTGCCTGTGGCGCCTGGCACAGCAAGTGCAGTGGCCTGGGAGCTGGACAGCACCTGGCCCAGGCCTGGCGTGGCCCCAGCCGCCTGCCTGTGACTTGAGGAGCGCCACTGACCCTCTCTGTGGTTACCCCCGTGAACATAGGCATGGTGCTGGACACCCATGGTTTCCAAGCGTGTTCTAACAACACAGCTCCTGTCAAATGGAACCTTCTGTGAAAGACACAAAGACACAAACAGAGCTGCTGACGAAGCCAGGGGAGGGTGCCCAGCCCCGCCTTCCTTGACAGCCCCGCCGTGCGGCCCGTGTTCCGGAAGGCCAGTCCGAGAATCACTAGACCACTCCAAAGGCAGGAGGCGTTCAGGGAGGCTCCGTCCTCTGCAGTCCTGGGGTGGCTGACGCCTTACCAAGGACACATTCTTGGGCAGTGTAGACATCATCAGCTTCACGTCCTCATCCACAATGTCGAGAGCCAGAGACTTCCGGACCTTCTTGATGGGGCTGCGCCGCAGCTGGGGGTTGGGCAGGGGAGGAAAGAGGTGGTCAGGGTAGGTGTCAGGGACTCCCGTGGTCAGTACCTGATGGCCACGGTCACAGACAGTCGCAAAACCAGGTCCTGCTGCAGTGGAGTGTTCAAGTGAGGCCTGGCTGGCAGAGCTCTGCTGTCGGGGGGTGGGGGGCTGGGAGACCCTGTGCCAGGGCAGACCCTGTCCTGCCAGACGCCGTGACAGTGAGCAAGGACACAGCCCGAGCCTCCACCTACAAAGAAACCCACTCTGCACCCCCGAACGGACCAGACACATCTCCCGAGGCCCATCGGAGAATCGTCTAAGCAACACCTAAAACACCCACCGCAGACGGGTAACATAGAAGTGTAAAAGCCCTTGGGACAAACCCCTCCAGAAACATCTGTTACAAGGAATACCCCAACCCTAACCCTGCACCCCTCTATAAGCAGGTCTGGGGTCTGCTTCAACACCAGGGAGGGGCTCTGAGACTAACACCCCCAACCCAGCAGTGGCGCCAGCAGGAGCTGCCATGGTGCAGAACCACCGTCCCCTACCCCGTCCCACACCGAGGAGAGGCCAGGGAGGGCCCTGGAGGTGGAGGCTGGCTCCGGGACCAGCTTCTGTGCCAGCCTTGGGACCATCCCTTCCACGCCCTCCACACCCAGGGGTCCCTCGCTGCCCACTCCCATCCCCGCCCCCTCCCTGCCACACACGCAGCCCAGACACCCAGCCGGGTGCTGCCTTGCCTGGCGGCCCTTCCTGACTGCCCCACGCTCCGGATTTCCACGGATTCCTCCCTGCCTTCTGGCCACTGCCCCGACACCCCGAGAACTCAGTCATCATGTCTGCCTAGCGTCCGTCTTGCCCACCGAGCCTGAAGGGGAGGCAGTGTCTGGGCCTTGATCGCTGCTCCGTGCACCGCACCCAGCCCAGGCCCACCGCGGAAGGGTCTGGACAGAACGCCGGGTGCGTGAGTGAACAGGTCAAAGGGGAGCAAGGGAGGGTCCCAGAGACACCAGACCTTACGATGTCAGTCCCTCGATAACCACCGTGGGGCAGGGGACACGTGCTGACCACCCTTTCCCCAGCCCTCCACCACCTGTCCCCAGAGCACCTCCATGGCTCCAGCTCCCCCGCGCCCACGCACTCACCCCTGGCTTCCTCTTCTGCTTCTCGGGCCTCACGTCGTCCTCGATAGCGAGCTCGATGCCGGCCTCGGAGCGCAGCACCTCCTTCAAGTCCTCCTCCAGGTGTGGGGTCTGCGGCTGCAGGCACGGCGGGGTGGCCCACATGAGGTACCGCACTCAGGTGCATGGGTTGGGGACAGCGGCGCACACGCGGTCACACCCAGGCTGTCTTGGCAGCAGGCGGGAGGCCTGGTGCCAGGACTCGGGCCTCGTATGCAACATTCACAACCACGAACCGTCCTGCCCCGGGCAGGCCGACCACGACCTCAGCTCCCCCTGCGTGGCAGTGAGCAGCCCAGGCCCACAGCAACCCTCACATGGCCCCGTGAGACCAAGCCTGGCCACGTCACGCAGCTGCTGAGTTGGAACCGGCCTGGCTCGGAGCCCAGGCCCCCACGCCTCGGCTCCACACTAGCGAGGGTGCTCACACCCAGCCCGTTCGCAGGCCTGGGGCTACAAGCGACCTCTCTGGCCTCAGGTAGCACAGAACAGGGGAGCGAGCCACTGAATGGAAGATGCAGGGCACCGCACACCTCAGCGGTCACATGAGAAGCCCCTGCATACTTGAATTACGGCTGCCAAAGTCATGAGGTTTGCCCTCTCAGACCTGTCTGGGGAGGACGGAGATATTGATATTTTAGCACGGAGGAACGGAATCTCCACTCCCACAGGACAGGGCAGGGCCAACTAATACCATGCCCATGCGACACCCCCCCTAGAAACCCTGCTTGACTCGGAATCACCCATCATGGGACTTGGGGAGCCCCAGCCCCAGCCACTTCAGGCTTCCCAAGAAGCTCCCATCAAAGCCTGCTCACGGTCCAACGCTCCGCCACAAGCACGCCTCTCTCTCGCCTGCCCCTGATTTCTAAACGCCTGTTTCCAAAAGCCCCCAGTGCCAGCTCTTTCCTTCTTGCTGGGGAAAACATGAGCCCATCAACCTGCACCCTGCTGGGAGACACCGACCAGGGCTCCCCCGTGTTCTGCAGAGACCCGGGAGGCCCGAGCGCCCACTCGCCACTTCTCCAAACCAGGCGCAGCACCTGGGAAGGCCTTCTCCATCCCTCAACTACCCGTTTTCTTCCCGGCACTCGCTGTCAGCCGAAGGCATTTTAGTTGTCAAGTGTTTCCCGTCCATCTCCACCACCCTGAAGGCCGAGTTTCACAGGACACTGCTGTGCCGCCAGCACCACCAGCCAGCGCCTGCCTGGCACACCAGAGACACTCGGAAATGTCAGGTGAGCTGACAGGCAGCAGCCTCGGTTTCCCCATGTATATAATTAGGAGCTCTGTGTCTTCTCAGGAGGACAGAATCCAGTAGGTTTCTGGAAAGGGCCCCGTGAACTGTGCGTGGTTGGACGAACCCACGAGACCCTACCATGCAGAGACCGCGGCAGCGACCACGCCACGTACCAGGGGCTTCAGGGGTCCGTATTTCTCCAGGGCGTTCTTGAACGGGGTTGGTGTGTGGGGAGTGTTGTCCATGGAGTACTTCTGATCTGGGGTCACAAACCTGCCAGGGGCCAAAAGAGATGCTCAGTGACAGGGTATAGCGGGGAGACATGAGACACTCTGCTGCCCTGACCCCGCCTTCCCTCCAGCTGACCTTTGGCCCCGGCACAAGTTCTCCCCCCACAGCACCCGCCCACCTGCCCCGCAGGCCTAAGTCGGAAGCCCAGAGGAAGGGCCTCCCCGGAAACTGAAGGAACAAACTTCAGTGAACACCGAGCACAAGAAACAAAGAAAAACACACCAGGGTGCATTAGAATCAGACTGTTTGAATGCAATGATAAGCTGCCAGCCAAAAGACAGGACCATCCTTAAAGCATTGCAAAGTTTAAATAAAAAACACCACCTGTCAACCTAGAACTCCATACCCAGCAAAAATATCTTTCAAAAATTAAGGCAACTTCAGACATACAAAAACTGACAGGACTCATCCACCACCAGCAGGCACATGGTACGAAGTTAAAGGGGAACGTTCAGACAGAAGGAACTAGAAGGCAATGTGGGTCCACAGGCGAATGAAGAGCACTGGAAATGCTTCCTGCTGCAGCAGGGCAGAGTTGGAGAGAGGCGGCATATGAGGGATGTGGGTGAGAAGGGACAAAGGGGAGGAATCCTGCCTTGTGTGGTGCCAGCATCTCTGTTTAAGGGCTTAGATGCAAAGTCCAGGATTCCGGTTTGAATGGAGAATCATTTCTCATAAAACCTATCTATGTTATGCTTCCGATAAACTGTTTAGAAACTGATTTCTCACCAAGGGACTCATTGATTGTTTATGAAATTATGTATCCTTACAAGGGTGAAAATTTCTGAATTGATTCTTTTCTTTTTTTATATAAGGAGGAGAAGTAGAAAGAGGAAGTCAATATTTTTGAGATAGTCTCACTCTGCTATCCTGGCTAGAGTGCACTGGTATCATCATGGCTCACTACAGCCTCTAACTCCTGGGCTCAAGTGAGTCTCCCGCCTCAGCCTCCCAAGTGGCCAGGATGAGAGGTGCACGCCACGACACTCAGCTAATTTTTCTATTTTTAGCAGAGATGGGATATCACTCTTGCTCAGGCTGGTCTGGAACTCCTGAGCTCAAGCAATCCTCCCACCTCGGCCTCTCAGAGTGCTAGGATTACGGGCATGAGCCACCATGTATGGCCTCCTGTTTTTAAAGAGACAGTGTCTTGCTATGTCTCCCAGGCTGGAGTACGGTGGTGCCATCACAGCTCACTGTAACCTTAAACTCCTGGGCCCAAGTGATCCTCCCACTTCAACCTCTCAAGTAGCTGGAACTACAGGTGTGTGCCGCCATGTCCAGCTAATTTTTCTTATCTTTTTGTAGAGATGGGACCTCGCTATGTTGCCCACGCTGGTCTTGGATCCTCCTGCCTCAGCCTCCCAAAGTGCTGGGATTACAGGCATGAGCCACCGTGCCTGGCCCTGAACTGATTCCTGAATCACATAACTTACTCATGAAATAACAGCAATGCTTCTCCTGCAGCGAATGTAGTGAGCAGGGAACGGTTAAGCAACTCTGGAATTCGGAGTCATGGTGACCCAAGGAGGTGAACTTGTTGTGAAAGTACTTCCACACTAGCAGGCCGGTGAGCAAGCTGCACAGGCTTTGGGATGGGAAACACTACACTCTGTGAGCTCGGAGGGTGGGGAGGCAGAGACGGAGAGAGCAGGGCACCTTCTTCCTGTATATACGGCTACTCGAACACAATGGATTTGGGGAACACATCTTCATTTTACACCAAAGGCTATGTGTCCCCAGTAAAAAAATAAATATAAATATAAATATATATATATTTTTTTAAAGCCACCAATGGATTTGCACTTGAAACTCAAAACGGGGGGAAAGAGATTATGATTTAGGGGGCAATTTTGACTCTCTTCCTGATATTAAAAAAAAATTATCAAGCTTAAAAATAAATATGAGTAAAAGTAAAAGGTGTGGCCTGAGACTATATTGATAAAAATGACAAACAGCATGGGGCCAGAAGGGAGGATGCCTTCTTGAAACACAGGCTGCAGTGCTTTTCCAAGGGTACTGTCCCCACCCCACCCCAGTGGTCCTGGGGGCCTGGGCTGGCCACAGCTGGGGAGGCCGCAGGTGGCGGCGCAGCACTCACGCTGCGTGTTTCTGGTGCAGGGGCGTCTTGTCCCGGTGCAGGGGCGTGGTGACCACCACCTTCTGGCTGCACACTGGGGTAGACGTCAGCGAGGGGCTCTCCAGCTCCAACGTGTCCTGTTTGTTCCAGAAGTTCAGAAACTGCCAGGGAAGAGAGAAGACACAAGACCAAATGACCTGCATGTGGATTCCTGAGGGGGCAGCGGAGAGACCCCTGAGCCCCTCCCTGCAACACGTCTGCTCTCGGACACCGAGGTCCCCTCCTAACCTGGCCGGCACCAGAGAACGAGGACCAGGACAGAGCGACAGGAGCCCGACAAGCAGGTTCGTGGAGACCTCGGGCTCACCACTGCCCCTAATCCCGGCTCTCGCCATCTCTGCCCCGGCCTGCTGCCGACGGGACACTGGCGGCAAAGAAAGCCGACTGCAGGAGAGCGGCTCCTTTCCAGAAGAAATAAAACTAGCCCTTAACACGCTGACTGCCACGTGGCGTGGTCAAAACTCAGGCTAGTCTTGACCCCAGGGCCTCATGAAGCAAAACCCTGCAGCTGGTTTGCGAAAATCTTACTTGCTGTTGTTCTTACTGTTACAATTAATATTGACGATTTGATTCTTAAAATGGGCATTGCGTTGCATATAACTCGCACAAGGAAAATAAACAATAACAAATTAAAAGGATCATTTTGTTTTAATAAAACACCATGGCTCCAGGGAAAGACCTTTTCTTTCTAGCGTGGCAGTTAACGTGTTAACCGATCTGCGAAGGCACAGGGCGTGATGACAGCGGTGAGGTCACCATTTAGAGAGCCCCTTCTCGTGCCAGTGCTAAGCACCTCACACAGACAATTTCATCTAGTTCCACAAATCCTGAGACACAGGCACTATTTCTATTCCCATTTTACAGATAAGAAAACTGAGGCTTAGAGAGGTTTAGATTCTTGCACTGAGAGTACTAGAGGTGCGACTCAAATCCAGACCTGAGCCAACAGCCATTGCTCTAAAGCACCGTCTTCCCCTCCCCTCTCTGCCCTGAAGGTGCTCTGCAGCCCTCAGGGCCACCGGTCTGTATGGGGTCTCTGGAGCAGGGCGGCCACCACACCCCACCATCCTAGGATGCCATCTGGGTAGTTCAGAGCTCCGCTGTCTTCCTTCCAGCCAGTGGACCTCACATGATGTGGTATGGGCTGAACTGTGCCCCCCACCCCCAAATTTACGTGTTGAAGTCCTAACCCTCGGGGCACTTCAGATCGGGGCTGTATTTGGAGCTAGGGCCCTTAAGGAGGTAATTAACCCGAAACAAAGTCATTAGGCCGGGCCCTAATCCAAAACCGGTGTCCCAGTAAGAAGATACAAAATAAGAGGTTTTAAAAGAGAAGATGAGAGATTAAGATACAGACACACAAGGGAGGATCGTATGAAGACAGGGAGGAGACGGCCGTCTATAAACCAAGGAGAGAAGCTTCAGGAGACACCAAGGCTGCCCGATTTCTGTTGTCTATGCCACCCAGCCCGTGGTACTGCGACAGCAGCCCACACAAACCGACACAGGGCCTCTCTCGGAAACACCACTAGCCACCCAGCCAGCAGGCTGAGCCCGGACCCCTCCCCAGCAGGTGACGGTGGCCTCCTGCAACATGCCACCTCAGCCTCGCTGTCTCCCACAGCCTCGCAGGAGCAGACCCAGGAAGACCCAAAGCCCTCCCAGGGCCCTGCCCCACCACCCCTGGCTCTCGCCTCCACCTCCACCCTGCCCTTTCCCTGTGTCTGGGCCTTTGCAGGAGGTGATCGAGGGGACCCAGCTTGGCCCCCACTCTCCAGGAAGCCTGAGCACCTCCCCGACCTCTAGGACAGACCTTGGTGCCCCTCCCAGCTCTGGGATGTCCTAAGTATGTTACAAACAGGGCCCTGGGGACAGTACCCAGGACATGGTAGATAGCTTCGCAACTGCCGTCACCATAGCCCCTCCCCAACTCCGCTCCGATCAACTCATTACAAGCCTGTCCCTAGCGCTGGCTGGCCTGAGCCGTCTTCACCTCTGCTCCCCATGCTGGCAAATCTGCTATGAACAGATTTAGGTTCAACAAATGGATTCCTTTGACAAACATGACCGATTCTCTTTCTCCTCTTCATTGCCCCGTTAGCACCTACTATTTCCTCAGCTCGAGCAATTCCTCCTCCTCCTGGAAGTCCTTCCTTGACCTCTCCAGACTAGACACAGTGGTAGCACCATGAGCCTTCTGCTTCATGCCACTTGTCACATTTGGGTTAGTTTCTTTTTAAATTTACTAACTGGTGCGCCTACCACAGAGTAAGCTTTGTGAGGGCAGAGCCAGGTCTCTTTTTGCCCATCTTTGTGTTCCCAATGCCGAGCACAAGGCCAGACACAAAGCAGGTGCTCAGTGAACACTGGCTGGCTGGCGTGTGCCAGGCCCTGTGCTGGGCACTGGGTGTCTGTAAACTGAACCTGATAAGCAGCTGGAGTGGGGTCCACGCACCTGGGAGGGCGAGAAGGGAAGTGTCTTGACAGGTGTGCTCTTAGGGGTGAGGCTGTTGCAGGAGTCCAGGAAGGACAGGCTGGCGCTATTCTCCGTGACGGGGGACAGAGCCACACGCCTCTTCTTCTGCCTCTTAAGCACGGAGGGTGGTGTGCCCACGCCTGAGCCGCCAACTTCAGTGCTGGGAGAGATGGGGATCAGCTCGCCGCGGCTGCTCCGGCTCAGGTCCGAGATGGTGTGGCCGTCCAGGCGGTACTCGGTCACGTTGGGCACCGGGGCGGCAGGCTGGCGGGGCAGCAGGGCCTGCTGCTGCAATGCCTGGGGCTGCACCAGGCTGTCGTTGATACTGCCTTCTGCAGACGGCTCTTCGGGGAGGTAAACTTGCTCAGGTCACACCAAGCATCGGGGTCCTGCCCAGAGAGGGAGGTTCAGTAGAACTGCAGTTACTCTGCTTTTTTAATACAAGAGGATTCCGTCACTAAAGGAAATCTGCAGTGTCCAGTAAGATTCTGCAGCCCAGGACTGATCAGTAACATTGCGTGCATTTCCTCAAAGAGCTTCCTATGTCTCAGTATTTCTATAGATCAAAACACTGAGCAGTAAACGAGATGCCCACCCATCACCGGTGCCTCCTTGGGGCACTTCAACAACCCTGCTAGGGAAGCATCACTTTCTCCTCTTCCACACCAAGGAACATGGGCCCAAGGGCGTGTGATCTGCCCCAAGTCACTGAGCTTCTAAGAACAAACCTGAGAATCACCCCAGCCAGCGAGGAGACCATAGCATGGCTTCGGGGGCTGCTCCACCCTGAGAAAACAGAACCCACCGACTGCTACAGACGCAGCACAGCCCTGGCGATTCCTGGGCCCCTCTCTAGGGAGACCCAACCATGTGTGCTGCCACAAACACCACGCTATTCTCTGCCAGTCACCCTTGAAGACTCAGTGCAGTGCCACCTCCTCTGGGCAGCCTTCCTGCCCCACCCCGTGCTGGACATCTGGGTCAGGTGCCACCACACACCTTGCACCCTGCTGCTCACTGGGCTGTCCCCAGAGCAGGGAGCACATGGTGACTGCCTTGGTGCCCCCAGGCCCCGGCTCAGGGTGGTGCACTCGGCATCAAGTCAGTAATCGTTAGTGGGACTGTGGAGTGAGCAGGTAGATGCAGACCCCTAAGACTTCCATCTAGGGGGGTGTTCTGTGCCCACTGTGAAGTGCTATGACCAACGTACCGACTCAATCAAGTCCAGGGCTTCCGAGAGGCTGGACCCCACTGCAGGGATGAGGAGGTTTGCTGCCTCCACCACCCACTTGTAGGGCAGGCTCGTTTCTGGTGAGGAGCCCTCCTGGTCCTCGTGCTTGGGGAAGTCCTCCAAGGGCTCTGGCGTTTGCACTCTGTCGAGCTCTGTAGGGACAGGCTCCTGCTCCTGCAAAGTCGCGGCTGCCGCGGCCTCCTCCTCACTGCTTTCCTCCTCTTTCATGGCAGGGGGTGCTGGGGGCCAGTTGGCTGCAAGTCTTCCCTGTTGGATACAAGGGCCCCCATTTGGATTTTTTTTTGTTATGAGATATAGATTATGTGGTGATTTCCAGCTAGAAGCACACAAATTGAATCTAATAAGGAAACTCAGTTGAGTCCACAATGAGAAACATTCTACAAAACAACTAGCCAGACCATACACTTCAAATACATCATGAGACTAAGAAAGGCTGATGAAAGAGACAGTATAATTAAATGCAATGTCTGGTCCTGGACTGGATCATGGGAAGGAAAAAGAGGAACATGGACTGTAGATTAAATTCCCAAACCAAGATTAAATGCTCTGAATTGGCTGTAACTATACTGTGGTTATGTAAGTAAATGGCCTTATGCTAAGGGAATCCGTGCAGAAGCATCGAGGGGTAAAGAGACATAACATACATCATCAACTCTTAGATGGCTCAGATGACAAAAGTGATTTCTAAAGAAAGATAAAGCAACTCTGGCAAAATGTTAAAAACTAACAAGTCCAGAACAAGGTATATGGGAGGTTCTTTGTACAACTCTTGCAACTTTTCCCAATGCTTAATATTCTAAAATGAAAGTTTGAAAAATGCAAGTATACTAAACTTGTGATGGGGAAAAAAGGAAATAAGAGGAAAATCTTTTACAACAATAGCTCTCCTGGCAGAACCCTGGAAACAAGCTTGGCAGGCTTGTTAACCTGACAGGCCCCAGTGTAGGCTTAAAAACAGCATGTCAGGAGCTTGAGACCAGCCTGGGCAACACAGGTGGGACGCTGAGGCAGGAGGATTGCTTGAGCCCAGGAGTTTGAGGTTGCAATGAGTAACTGCACTCCAGCCTGAGCAACAGAATGAGACTCAGTCTCTAAACAAATAAATAAAAATTTTAAGGGAAAAAAAAAGAAAACAGCACATGTGACTAACAGAGGCCACATGGAAAGCAAGGAGCAAAATCCTCGTTAACGGGGGTACAATGGGGCTGGGGAGATGGCACAGGTTCCGGATTCAGATAGAGCTTTGCCATTTACTAGCTGACCGTGGGCCAGCTGTGCGACCTGAGCTTCAGTTTCCTTGCCTGTCAAATGAGGACACTGCAGTTTACCATGCAGGGATGTTACGCAGATCAGGAAAGATACATAAATGGTAGCTATTACTGTCAAGTGAACAGAATGAAAATGGTTTGTGATAGGACAAAGGAAGGTAAGGAGACAAGATGAACAGGTTTGATTAAAAACTTATAACAGCTCTAAGGTGGGATGGGAATGCCATAAACACTAACAGTTACCAACGTGAGAATGCCACTTAGAAAAACAGCTACTATAGAAAACCAGTTTGGCAGTTTCTTGTAAGTTAGGTATATACTTTTCATATGACCCAACAATCGATCCCATGCCTAGATATCTACCCAAGAGAAATAAAAAAAAACATTTAGGCAAAAACCTACACACAGATGTTTATAGTGGCTTTATTTGTACACACTAGCTGGAAACAATGTCCCTTGGGTGGTAAATGGATACACAACTGATACATCCACACACAACAGAGTGTTACTCAGCAACAAACAGGAACTAACTAGGACACACGCAACACAAGTCAAGTGTGTTATGCTGAAAGAAACAAGACATGAGGTACATACTATATCATTCCATTTTCATGACACTCTTGCAAAGACAAAACTATACAGAGACAGAAAACAGGCAAAATGGAGGTGGAGGAGTGTCTGGCTACACAGGCACTTTGGAGGGTGACGGAAACCGTCTGTATCTTGACTGTGGTGATGGTTACACGACTATACGCATTTGTCAAGATACACAGAACTCTCACTAAAAAGGGTGAATTTTACTGTATTTGTAAATTTCACCTTTATAAAAGAAATAAGGAAGCTACCAAGAAATTAGGAAAAAAATAGTTACTATGTGATAAAGGGGTGGTATCCTTAATATACAAATAAGACTTACAAATCAATAAGAAAAAAGACAAAAAAAAAAGGGCAAAGGCAAATAACAAATTAAGGAAAAAGTCCCCCTCACCAGTTGTCAAAGAAATGAAAATCAAAACAATTAAACAAAATGTCACGTTGTACACCGTAAATATACACAGTTTTTATTTGTCCAATTATATTTTAATAAAGCTGGGGAAAAAATAAAGATTGACTCAAAAATTAAAATAAGAATGTGATAATACATTTGTTGCTTGTAACACTGGCAAAGATGTTTTTCAGGGCTGGGCACGGTGGCTCACGCCTGTAATCCTAGCACTCTGGGAGGCCAAGCTGGGAGGATCACTCAAGGTTAGGAGTTCGAAACCAGCCTGAGCAAGAGCGAGACCCCGTCTCTACTAAAAATAGAAACAAATTAATTGGCCAACTACAAATATATAGAAAAAATTAGCTGGGCATGGTGGCACATGCCTGTAGTCCCAGCTACTCAGGAGGCTGGGGCAGCAGGATTGCTAGAGCCCAGGAGTTTGAGGTTGCTGTGGGCTAGGCTGATACCATGATACTCTAGCCCCAGCAACAAAGTGAGACTGTCTCAAAAAAAAAAAAAAAAAGATGTTTTTCAAATAACCATAGCCCGTATTGACAATGACACAGCAAACAAGTAATCCCAGGTATGTTGTCGATAGCAGGATAAAACAGTGCAAGTCTCTGGACAGCAATGTAGCAATGTCTATAAAAATTTCCACTATTTGACCCAATCATTCGGCATTTATAAAATTAACCACATAATTAGCAAATGTACAAAGAAATTGAACAATGATGTTCAATGCAGCATTGACGGAAATGGTAACGGATATTACCGTTAGATAAGACACGACATACCCAGGAATAGTGCAGAGATCTGTATACACATAACAATGTGGATAAGCAGAAAAAGCTTAAGATGGTAAGATACGACATAATCTCATTTTGAACTTAGTAACCTTAGTGTTAGGCATTGGCAAATATATTACACAATATATTGGTTCTCTCTGGAAGTTGAGATGAGGGGGCTTAGCCTTCTGCATCGTACCATTCCATAAGGTTTGTTACTTTTTATACAGTGATCCTGCATTAATTCTGAAGCCCGGGAAACAATTTTATGATGGTAAGCATTGACCAGTGAGTGGGAACAATTGGGGATGGTCCAATACACATTAACAGGCAAGCTTTTTCTAGCAGACAATCTAGCAAAATGTATTAAGAGTTTTTTTCTTTTTTCCTGCAAATGTCTGTCCATCTCTATGAAGTTCTCAAGAAATAACTGAGTAAAGGGGCAGTGACTGGCCACAAGGATGATCATTAAATTTTGTTTCTAACAATAAAAAAATTGGGAGTCACCTTTATGTTCATCAGGAAGGAACTAGTTTAATAAGTAGCACAAGAAAACCATTAAAATGGCCGGGGCGCGGTGGCTCACGCCTGTAATCCTAGCACTCTGGGAGGCCGAGGCGGGCGGATTTCGCTCAAGGTTAGGAGTTCGAAACCAGCCTGAGCAAGAGCGAGACACCGTCTCTCCTAAAAATAGAAGGAAATTAGCTGGACAACTGAAAATATGTAGAAAAAACTAGCCGGGCATGGTGGCGCCCACCTGTAGTCCCAGCTATTACGGAGGTTGAGGCAGAAGGATCGCTTGAGCCTAGGAGTTAGAGGCTGCAGTGAACTACGATCAAGCTACTACACTCCAGCCTGGGCAACATGGCAAGACCCTGTCTCTGAAGGGGAGGAGGAGGGAAAAGGGAGCATTAAATGGGGATATCATAAGTTCTGACTTATGTGTTATAAAAGATATCCATGTAACAAAAATACTTATACCCCCTCAATTAATATTTTGAAATTAAAAATAAAGAGAACATTAACAGAAGTATTCAATTGTTAAATAGTTCATGATTACAGACAAGATTAGAAAACAGCATAGAGCTGTAGTCCCCAAGCCCTGGGCCATGGCCTGGTACCAGTCCGTGGCCTATTAGGAAACGGGCTGTGCATCCACCTGAGCGCCACACCAGGCCCCCTGCCACGACACCCCCCCCCCCCACCCCTGGTCCGTGGAAAAATCGTCTTCCATCAAACTGATCCCTGGTGCCAAAAATGTTGGGGACCACTGGCACCATGAACTACCATGTACCCAGCATCATCAAATCTTAATACTTCGTCATATTTGCTTCAAATCTGTTTTTAACAATCTTCAGAGATATAGTTAAAAAATATAAAGTTAGCTCTGGGATATGGGATGAGAATGTTAACATGTGCACATATTGGTTTTGTTTTTAAAACTGCAAATGTAATACTGTATGATTTCATTTATGAATTTCTGGAAAAGACAAAATTATAGACAGAGAACAGATCAGGGTGCCAGGAGCTGAGGGCAGGAAAAAGGCTGATGAAAAGGAACACACTTGACTGTGGTGGTGGCTACATCACTGCATGCTTTGGTCACAACTCAGAACCGTACATTAAACACAGTATGTAAACTGTACCTCAACGTATCTGATTTTTTTAAAATTGCAAACATGCTTTCAGCTTAAAAGATTGGAAAGAGCAATAGACAAGAAGCTGCTGGCCGGGTACAATGGCTCACACCTGTAATCCTAGCACTCTTGGAGGCCGAGGCAGGAGGATTGCTTGAGCTCAGGAGTTTGAGACCAGCCTGAGCAAGAGCAAGACCCCATCTCTAATAAAAATGGAAACATGAACCAGGCATCATGGTGTGCACCTGTAGTCCCAGCTACTCAGGAGGCTGAGGCAGAAGGATTGCTTGAGCCCAGGAGTTTGAGGTTGCTGTGAGCTAGGCTGACGCCACAGCACTCTCTAGCCTGGGCAACAGGTGAGACTCTGTCTCAAAAAAA